TATCCTATCCTATCCTATCCTATCCTATCCTATCCTATCCTATCCTATCCTATCCTATCCTATCCTATCCTATCCTATCCTATCCTATCCTATCCTATCCTATCCTATCCTATCCTATCCTATCCTATCCTATCCTATCCTATCCTATCCTATCCTATCCTATCCTATCCTATCCTATCCTATCCTATCCTATCCTATCCTATCCTATCCTATCCTATCCTATCCTATCCTATCCTATCCTACTCTACTCTACTCTACTCTACTCTACTCTACTCTATTCTATTCCATTCCATTCTATTCAACTGCAGCCAGCAGAGGTTTTGCTTGTAGAACTGGGTTCTCTTTGTATTCCTAAACAAACAGCTTCAATACAGTGCTACTCATACAGAGGGCATCTGCCTCAAGTGTATTGGCAAACTCAACCCATAGAAAGCACGATCCATCTAACATTCTTAAATTCACACTGTGCAGGATGATTATTTTCTTAATTCATTTTCTAAGACTAAGTACATAGAAAAGGGCATTTCTGGAGGGTGCTTTTCTAGTAAGGAAGCAATAAATTCAGTGTAAAACAATCCCCTGCGCTGTTAGGCATGCAGGGGCCTGGACTCCAGCCAGCTGGGCAAGCCTGTCTGCAGTGTATAACATTGCCAAATAAAAGCCGTGTTCCTATTAGACACACAGCAGGGTCAGTAAAGGGAGGGAAGGGGGAAGAGAGGGAGACGTACGTGCACACTGAAGCAAGATTTGTCTTTTGAGGAACTACAAAGCCATCTTCTAGGAATACACGGGGAATCCCACAGCCTTCCCTCTCCCCCTTTTTCTCTGTAGAGGATGAGCATTTATGAATGAAGGATTTTGATTTAGCTCTTTTTCCATTTTAAACTATCTATGCCTCATCTCTCCTAAAGCCTGCACACACCTAGGGCATAACACTATTTTTGCGAAAGCCTCTCTTTTTTGGGAATGCACATTTCTTTTCTCCAAAAGCCACTAGAGGGCATTGGCAAACTGAAGGAGTATCCCATACCGTTATCGCCGACTGCTAAAGAAGTTTTGTGGGCCAAGAACGATAAAATGGCATGTACACAGCCTTGCACTCTGTCCTTCGTGTTTGTTTGCAGACACAAAGATAAAAAATGACACACAGGAGCTGCTTTTCGCTGCCCTTATCCTGAGGTCCAATTTGCAAACAGATAAATCTTCCTTATTACGGCAAGCGCAAACGAAAATGAAAGCAGCAGCGCTTTCTTTAAGGCTCGTAAAAGGAGTGGAGTTCCAGCTGTATTTTTAGCTCTCTGCTTTATTGGACTGCACTTGGCAGTGTCTCCTGGGTGCTCAGTAGTTTGGCAATTTTCCTCTTCTGACAAGTTAAAAAAACCCCAGATCTCAGCTTTCCTGCCCTTTAATATTACTGAATGGTTCTTGCTCCTTTTAAGACAGCATGTGTGATTTCTGCTGCAATATCAAGTTCAAATATTTAACTTCTCCTGAAGGATTCTAGATCTGTTCGGCTCAGTGGTGGAGTAATGTTCCTTAAAAGTTCACTTAGGAGCCAAGTGACAGGAGCACGCTGGCGTCTGAGATCTTGGCCTGACTATGCTCAAACATTTCCCTTTGTGTTTCAGAAGGAATTAAAAAGACACAGATCAAAGGCTTTGGGAGATTAGATTTTTAAAGAGAGCCTTCAAACCACTTCCAAAAATTACTCAGATGCTGAGAAGTGAAGTATCACAGTGCCTGGTGGTTTGGCAGTGCCTGATGCCTGGGCTGGGGGTCTGACTCTGTGTGCTCGGTGCATGGGCCATGGGGTGATTTGGGGGTGTCACACGGGGTCCCAAATTCTCATCAGCCTCCATCCCTGGCCTGGGCTGAGCAGAGCTGGGAACCATTGGGGACGTTGCTGCTCCCTGGGCCAAAAGCACTCCCAGGGCTGCATTAGCAATTTAATGAGTATGCGTGTGCCTTGGCGCAACCCAAAATGCCATGGTCATTCCCGATTCATCCCCTGACATGACGGTGGTGACGAACTCTCCCTGCTTCTGCCCGCAGCCGTGCAACTGCCCCTGATGTCCATGCAGCAGCCGTGGCCATCGGGTGCTTGAAACCTCTTGTCACAAGCTGCTCCAAAAGCCAGGCTGGACATCGCTCCTTTAAATCCTTCCTCTGCATCAGCAAGACCTGGACTCGTTCCTGCAACAGCCAGGAGAAGAAACATCAGGCTGCACCCGCAGGAGCAGGAGAATCAGGTGCTGGAGACGTACAACTCTAATTCAGGGTCATTATCACCTCCTTGGTGCCAAGAGGAGCGTTTCTTTCTGCGTTTCGATGACAGGAACAGCTTGCGCTGCTCAGCTGTGATTTATTGCGTAGGATAAGAGGCAGGCGATAGCCTGGCAGCACACGAACAGGGTGCATGTGCTTCTCCTGTGCCTCATTTACCTCTCACTATCCAAGAGCTTTGCTAGAGCTACTTGTTCCCCAGAGCTGCCAGGCAAAGCTGTGATCCCAGGAGCACACCTTGGGAAGCCTATGGAAAATGCTGTGCTTCATGCAGGTTTTACTGCGTGAAGATACTAGGTGTCACAGCGCTGTAATATCCAATGGTATTGGGAAAACACGGCTGGGCACAGCACTATAATGCTCATATACAATGTTCCCATCAGCTGGGTGGTGAGGATGCAGCTAAACCAGGGAATGAATTGGATTTTGGAAAACTGGTGCTCCCCACCTCTTTGTGGGGAGCAGAAAAAAGAGACAACCGTAGCAACAGGAGACTTATCTCCTGCGGCTGGTCCCACCAGGTGTAGGGTGCTCCGGTGAGGTGTAGGACTGACTACAACACCTTGAGCTATTTGAGGGAGGTAAGGCTGTAGATGCTGTGAAACACAGCTTGGGGGTACAGGGACCAAATACAGTGGTCGGTGCCATTTGGAATGTCTGAGGACCTGCACAGCTCTCCTGAGGTCCCTTGTCACCTCCACCAGCCACATGGGGATGTCTTCATACCCTTGAGCATCTCAACTGGCCCAAAACACAACAGAGCTGGGGAGCCTTAAAGTCACACAGAGATAAGTTCAGCAACGGGGCCCTGAATCGTCACACCCGAATAGAGATGTTCTGGTTATGGACATCTCCTCATCCAAATCCTACCCTGGGGCTGCTACCCTTTATCAGCTTAACCCCAAAAATCTCCAGTCAAATTTGTATCACTCCTTCACCCAACCATTCCCTTGCTCACTCACTTGCAGGCAAAAATGATGGGTATTTGGGAGTGTGACTATAGTGGGATCCCTTGTCTCCTGACAGATATTCAGCCCTATTTACCAGAAAGCACTTTGGGATGCTTTGAATATGAAAAGCACTTAAGGACCATTAAGTTCTCATCTCTATTATTTACTCCAAAGTAGTATCCAAGTATTTATTTCCAGGGAAGCATAATAGATAATAGTTTCCTATGCAGGGTATCTCAGTGGAGCAGGTTGATGTTGGAGGGAGATCTTTTTATGTTGTTCATAGGGGTTGCAGGATTCACCTATAATGTTTTACCCTGGTGTGTGGCTCATGCGGTCCCTGGGGAATTGGATCCCTAAACCATCTCGAGCCTTTCAGCCCCCTTGGCTGGACTGACCTGAAAGTCTTCATAGGTTCCACATTCGTGCCAAAATATTTCAGCTCTGCTGGTTGCAGATATTCCCCCTTTGGTGGGTTTAATGGACCTACTAATGCGATGGAGCCAAGGCACGTCCAGCCACAGGCGTTTTGGTCCCTTGGCCAGCTTCCCTGGCCAAAATGGGTGTGCCACCATGGGGTTTTTTTGAGCATTTACCTTCTGGAGATGGTTTCCTCCAGCTGTGAATGTGTGTGCCAGGCCAGGCATGGGAGTGTAGACAAGCCCTGGGTCATCCCCACCCTTCCTCCAGACATGAGTGGGCCATTTAAGCCTTATTTTAGGTTTTTTTAATATATCTCAGTGAGATACACACTGTCTCTGGTCCCACGAAGGAGTGCAAGCATT